TTTGCATTCAGACAGAAAGTTTTTTGAAATATTTGCAATTACTTTATAAGAAGGATTTATTAATAACCGTAATAATTACTTATTATATTACTGATGATTAGGATTCAGTTCTTGACAATTACATTCTAAATTAGAATTTTAAGGATATAATGAAAATACGCTACGCACAAAAAATACATTTTAGGATAAAAATGAGTTGATTTTTTATGTTTTAAAACTTCTTAAATTCATTTAATAAACATCGTATCCTCGTTGTTAATTGAATCCAGAATGTTGGGTGTCGTTTATATAGAATTATTCTTACTTGTCCACAGAATCTGCTGACTTATCCAGCCATTAAGTAGCAGCTGCAGATCATTTCTACATAACCATTGAACTTCCATTAATTCAGTCTCTAGAGGGTTGTATGTTTATATCATAATTTGACTTTTATAAAAATGATTATTCTAAATATTATGTTTCTATAAAAATATACTGTGCTTTAAAAATGTGGATGATAGTATCAGCCGCTCTTTCAGCCACTTCAAAAGCAACAGTTTGTTTAGAAATAAATTATGCAGTTAATGTCATAAAATTCAAATAAATATCAAACGAAAATTCTCAGTTTTAGACAATTCGATTTAAACGAAGTAAAGTAAAGTAGCAGACGATAAAACGCCGAAGGTAAAAATTTACTCTTATTTTTTTTAAAAAAGGAAAGATAGAGAGAAATTTAAAAAAAATAGTTAAAAAATTTGAATATCATCTATAATTAAAAAAAAATAGCCTTTTCATATAGTATTAATAAATATTTATTACGCTTCATTGAGGGGAAAAAATGTCATATAATTAATTCTCCGTAAAATTTTACTTGAAATTTAAGGTTAAAAATAGCTGTGGCAATTCAGTGTAACAAAAAATCCATAGACCACATTTGGCGTTATTATCGCTCAAAAAAAAAGATGCCAAATTTCAAAACGCGAAAATATGTAAATTCGTGTATATCTTAGAAAATTTTGAATAAAAAAGTCTAATTTTTTGCAGATATGCTTAAAAAATACACCTACTTTAAGATGATGGTAAAAATTTTATAGGTTATAATTCAAAATTTTTTTCGAAAAATTTATAAAAATTATTTAAAAATAGAAATTTAAAAAATAAAAAACACAAAAAATGGGATAAATTTTATTTGGAATGAACCTAAATTTCGAAATGTGAGAGAAAAAAATCAAAAAAAGTTTAATAAAAAAAAGAGATATTAATAAATATTTGCCAAATTCAATTAACATTGAGGAGCTAAAATTTTGAGAGCTAATATTTTAAAAACTACTCGTACGATTTTTACAAAACTTGGTATTCTGGCATAATTTGAGTCGTAGAATCGAAATATGGAAAAAAATTGGTATGTTATTTCAGAAAAAGTCCGATTTTGTGTCAAAATACCTATGTTAGAATAGTGCTATATATAAATCTAATATATATCCTAAGTCGCGCTTTCGAGACATGACAAACGCAATTTGAATTTTGTCAATCGGCCCAGTAGAACGGGAGATATAGCACTGTCCCATTTCTTTTTTTTGAGCAGTGTACGTCGTGTTCTCACCTTCCTCGATACACAGGGTTTTCGACTGCTGCCTTTGTCTGCACGGTGTCCAGATCTATCAGCCATTGAAAATATCTGGTCACGAGTTGCTGAGAGAATAGCCCACCTCCCCTCTTCAGCTAATACGGTTGATGAAGTGTGGCATAAACTGGAAGCAGAATGGAATCAATTGCCTATTTCTGTCATTCAAGGCCAGTTTGATCCCATGCCTAATGGAGTAAGGGACGCTTAAGCTAATATGGTTGATGAAGTGTGGCATAGACTTGAAGCAGCATGGAATCAATTGCCTATTTCTGTCATTCAAGGCCAATTTGATTCCATGCCTAATGGGGTAAGGGACGCTTAAGCTGCTGGGGGTGCAGCTGTTTCTATTAATTTCTCACCAACGTAAACCTCTGAAATGCTTACAAAATTAATCATTTTGTCTTCATGCCATACTGTTTACGTGCAATAAATACTATCTTTTTTGCATTTCCTTTCCTTCATGGTGTTGCAATTTTAATAGCCAGCAGTATAGAACAGTCCCATTTTTGTATGTACATTTAACTTATTCTATGTACATTTAACTTATTCTACGTTATACCTCAAGCATGCTGAACTGCTTTTACATAAATACTTTATAATTTCTGCAGAGATAAAATTATTCATTGTATGTGCGCCGATCAAGTGATTCCCACCTCCTGCTGAAAGTTTTCACAGTCATTTTATATGTTATGTATTTGTGAAATGTTTCCACTGATTTTATGAATCTGAATTCATATTCCATGATGATTACAGTACGGATGGGGATACTCAGATAAACTGGCACTTGGCGAATTTAATGACGAACTGCTAAATGATTTCAAAAAAATGCCATGTCATGTCGAATATTATGTGCAGCGCAAATATCGCACCTTTTTTCTGATCTAGAGAGAATAATGTGATTACTTCTGGACATTTCTGCAATTTTCAGATATTTTTAAAATTTGATGCATTATTCATACTAGTATAGTAAGTACGAGCAACTTGAGTGCAGTATTTTATTATATTTGATTTGAATATTTTTTTATTGCTAAGCCACTTGTTATACATCACTAGCCCCCAAGCTAGTGTCAAAGATGTGCAGGATTCCAGCATGAACAAAAATGCAAAAATATAATGAATGATGTCGAAAATAAAATAATAAGAACATATTTCATAATTTTATTACTTTGTACACCATTTGTATATTATTACTAATAATTGTAATATTAATACTTTGTATCAATCTAGTTCCAAAGTTTTGATCTTAATGCAATTGCGCGAAAGAATTCATTTAGTTTGCATGATACTACTGCTTGATAGTAGTACTGTATGCTACTACTGCTGCATAAGACTACTGTATAATACTTTGCATCATACTACTGCTTTCGCATGATAAGTCATAATATCGTTCCTCTTCTGAAAATTATTTCACAGTTTATCTTTAAAGTCTTGCATATTATTATCTGAAATGAAAATTAGATGCATAATAACTTGATGATTAATTAGGCGTTTTCGTCAGTCATTAAAAATATTACTATAAGTCATAAGTGTATTTATAATTTCCAAAAATATTCATGCATTTCATACATGAAACTGAACACATGTTATAGGAATTTAATTTAATAATATACAGTACAAAGTCCGTAATCCGGACTCGCCAGGACTTCCGCGATTCCGGGTTACGCAATTTATAATTTCGGATGAAACCGTAATTTATGAAGTAAAGGGCAATTATGATCTAAAGGGTATCAAAATTTACAAAAAAAGAGCTTAATATTTATTTGTTTACTTTATTAAACATTTATTTCAATGTAAGCTGTTTAAGTTGCTTCTTTTTTTTTGTGCTAAACGCGCATGCGCAAAGCATACAAAAAAAAGTTTGTGGCTTTGAGATCTGGATTATAGATCATTCCGGATAATGGCGTCCGGATTACAGACTTTATATTGTATTTACTGACACACTTGAGTGAAATTTATGTGAAATTCCCTTTGCATGACCTCTCAAATTGAATCTTTGAACATGTCAGGTTAGATAAACATAGCACTATGCTACTATAATGTTTATAATGTTTTCCATAACATATGTTTATGATAATCATAATTATGCCATTTCTTGCAAACTGTAAGAGAATGAATTTTATCTCTAACATAAACTTACTTTTACAGAATGTCTCATCAAATAGTATCAGAAAAAAAAAAAAAAAAACTTTTCACTTTTGAAATGTTATTTGAATTTTAAAAATTGAATGCACCCTAAAACAACATAATATCTGTTTCTCTTCATAAGCAACTAGTTTTCCAGAAGAGACTAAAGATATATATATCATCTAAATACTCCAGTTAACTCAATAACATATACTGCAGAATTTTTAGAATCAATAGACAGCGTTTCATTTAAAATGAAATCATATATGTGTTTTTTTCTTTGTTTTGGTAACTGAAAGGTTAAATACACTTGATGAAGAGGCAAGTATTAAGTACACCTGGGCAAAAGCCGCCTCCTGTATATAACACATAAAAAACGCATTAGTAATGCGAGGTAAAATTCTTAAATGAGAATAAATCTTGTGCGTTGCGTAGGATGAGTCTCCGTATTCAATTACTCTGGCTAAGGATGTTGGTGGTGTGATAGCAATTATTACTACTGTAACAGCAATTATAGGCATAACGATGATATGGCATGATAGCAGCTGGATGGCAAACGCTCAATGTACACTTGACGAAGTGAAGCCAGCAATCCTCGCCCAGATGTTACAGTGGTTAGGGGAACGTACTATGGTGCTTAAAGCCCTGGGTTCGAATCCCAAGCATGACATGGATGTTTGTAAATGTATAGTGTTGGTGTGGCATGGCAGCACTCTAAATACGCGGTGAGACGAAAGTCCTCTTGTGTGGATTGGTTTGTGAGGGGAGAGGAGACCCCAGGGGTGCTCTCCCTCAAAACTGGGGGTGGAAAATAGAAGTCCAGCCTGTCTTTGGAGTAGGCTCTGGTAATCATTGTTCCATGTAATATGGACAAGCCAGCAATCAAAACCAAGTAATGACACAAATCGCTTTAAATATATTTGTAATTAATTTTTTTGGAACCTGTAATTAGCATTTACCATAATATATTAGAATTCTGCATTAAAATTGTGTCAAAATATATCAAGTTCATTGCAAAGTGTGACATTCATTAAATTAGACAAATTATTCAAATTATTATCAGTAAATTATAAAATTACTCAGCTTAAAAATATGTAGTAAAATGACAGAGGACTTTGGCCAGGAAATTAAGGACATGAAATTTCTAAATAAATAAAAAAATCAGTAGAATAAGGGAGGGGAATAAAAAGTGAATCGGATCATTCTGGAAGACTAATAAATATCATTTAAAATAATAAGAGCTGTGTTCAATTAAATGAAGAATCATTTCTTCACATTCTTTAAATATTTTTATTCAAATTACATTTGACTTCTAAATTATTAAACAAGATATGTAACGCAAAATCACACTGTCCATATAATAATTATATGCATTATAAAAACATTACTTATGACAAAACACATTTATATATTAACAAATAACTACTGCTGATTTTCATCCTATAAAATATACTGCTGGTACACTTTTCCCACATTTGAAATCTTATGATGAATCTTAGTCCACACTGCTCAGAAAACAATATCAGTAAAATACCTTTTGATAACTTTCAAGTCTCTAATTGGTCAAATCCTTCATCACACATATTCAGAGTCAAAATTTTTCAGTTCCCAGGCTCACATCAGCTCGGTCAGTCTTATTTGAAAGCACCGATGCAGCTAAAATACACGTGCTGATAACGAAGCTATCAAATTCACACATATCTTGTGCTCAGAAGTGCGGTCACTCTAAACAAGGCTTTAGGGTATGTTAAGTGCAGTTGTTAGACAAATGCTGAAAAAAAAAATTATTCTAATTTATTATAAGCATAATTTTCTGGCTGTATAAAAAATTCTAGCTAATATTTTATAAATATTTGGAGTAAAATTATTGCACATGGTTAGGTATTATAACTTATGGTACAACATATGCAGTACAAAGTCCGAAATCTGCACGTCCAATATGCAGAATAATCTAAAATCCAGACCTCCAAAAAATAAGTCACCCATTTTTGCTATTTTAGAACTTTTTTAGTAATGGTCGTACATTTGCTATTTGTTCATAATAAGACACATGGACACTCCTGATTCTTAATTACACTTCGAGACTGACAGAAACCAGGCTAATCATTATTTATTATTATTTACTTTCATCACCACATGACAATTAAAACAGTGAGCTCAAGCAATGACTCACACAGCAATATCTAAAGAGTATATATATATATAAAGTAAGAAATTTAAAACTAAATTTCACAAAGATGAAAATTTTGAAATTCATAATTAATATATTTCAAACAATCTAATAAATGCAAAGAATTTAATAAATGTAAAAACCAAAACTTTTAAACAATCAAACTACCTCAACCCCAAAAATCCCTTAAATTAATATACATATATATATTACATTAATAACTGAGTACAAAATAGCATGGTAATTTTTTATGTTGACATTATACACTGACTACCAATAAGTATTTGGATACCTGTGATAGAAAAGAAAAACTAACTTTATTCAAAATCAATAGTTAGTAGAGCCTCCACGAGATGTATTTACAGCGTGGACCCTCCGGGGTATACTTTCCACAAGTCTTTGTATGACAGCTAGTGGTATTTTCTTCCACTCGGCTTGGAGAAGACAGAAGTTCCATCACCGATTTTGCACGGGTAGTGCACACCTGAATTCGGCGGTGCAACTCGTCCCAGAGGTTCTCGATAGGGTTCAGGTCTGGACTGGGCAGGCCAGTTCGATGAACTCCATTGGCACCTACCAAGCCTTGGTTAACATCGAAACATGACAACTGGCATTGTCGTCCTGAAAGTAACAGGGGTCCAACCTGTAAAACTGCCACAACGTAGGAAGCACATTGTCATCCAAAATGGTGCAGTAGGCATCGGAGTTGAGCTTACCATGAATGGAGACCAAGGGTCCCAGCCCATACCAGGAGAAACACCCCCAGACCATAATTCCACCTTCCCCGAACTTGACTGTTGGCACGAAGCATTCTGGCAGGAGACATTCTCCAGGTAGACGCCAGACCCTGCCATCCGAACGGTAAAGGGTGAACCTTGATTCGTCACTCCAAAGAACCCGTTTCCACTAATCTATGGTCCAATTTTGATGTGCTTACCACATTAACCAAGCAGCGCGGTTGGACTTTGTGATCAAAGGCTTATGGGCAGCAGCACGACCATGAAAACCAAGCAGATGTGCTTCCTTACGGATGGTATTCATTGAAACAATACTTCCGGATGCCTGTTGAAACTTCTCGTGGATGAGGGCTATCGGTTGGGTGCAGTTCTTCCAAATTTCTCTGAACAGCACTCGTCGGTCTCTATCCCCCCGTTTCGTTGGTCTGCCAACTCGGGTGCATTCCGACAATCACTTCTCACCTTCCACTTCTTAATCACATAGGCCACTGTCGATATTGGGTACTTCAGATTGCTAGATATGTCCCTTAAGGATCGGCAACATTTGTGATATTAATAACCCGATAATTATACCTTTCTCGAAATCAGAGAGCTCCGAACTGCGAGGCATCTAGCATGCGACTAAAGCCGATGCTGTTTCCTACACGATATATACCGGCGGAATCCGCGGCATACCTTGGGACTGCAGATATCATCATTTGCATAGGTGTCCAAATACTTATTGGTAGTCAGTGTACTTGGTGATGATTACAGACTTCAGCTAACTCTGATGCAAAACGTTGATGAGAAGAAATTTAGCAGAAATTTCTTTCAATTTGCAAAAAATAGATTTTGTAAATGATACTCACAGGTCAAAAGATTGATATTGTTTGAATTGAGAATAATATATTTATTATTAAGTCCAGGAGTGGCGCCAGAACTGGTGCGACCACATCGGACGGCAGAATTTAGAAGAAGCAAAATTTTTAGCATTTATAAAAGCATCAAACAGCAGAATCAAGTGTAGGAAATACGCTAGGATGCAAAATTTTTATAATTTAGGAAAACATTCAGCAGCAGATTGTTGGACCCCCGGAATTGCATTGGGCCACAATATGTTTAGTGCTGGCCCTAGATAGGTCTTACAGGGTATTCAAAGCTAGGGGAACATATTTCTAGGACAGATAATGTACACAGCGCTGATGCAAATCAAGGAGTAAAGTACAGCATCAAGTAATTAAAGCAACTACGTAGCGTATTCGGAAACTAAGTACCGTTTCATTCTAGCGCCGTCGCAGCACTGTGGTAGGCGTCCCGCGCATGCGCACTAGTCTTTCTTGTTCACTGACTTTCAATTGTCGCCATTTTGGTTGCTCTATGTTGTGTTTTCAGTTTGCTGTGCACATTCAAAATGTTTAAGACAATTAGTTCTCCCGCTGACTGTGAGATTCATGCCGTGATTAAATTTTTGAACGCGAGAAATGTTAAACCGGCCGAAATTTATCATCAAGTGACAGAAGTTTACAGTGAATACGCGATAAGTGAATGGTGAGAAAGTGGGTAAGAATGTTTAATGCAGGTCGAACAAATGTCCACGCCGAGGCTCGGAGTGGTCGGCCTTCTGTTGTCACCGATGATTTGGTAAGGAAAGTTGATGAAGCAATTCATGAGAACAGACGCTTCACAATGACAACTCTTTCAGATGCATTTCCACAAATTTCACGTACTTTTTTTTTTTTTTTTTTCGAAATTGTGTCTGACCGCTTGAATTATCGCAAACTGTGTTCACGATGGGTTCCAAAAATGCTCACTGAGGTTCACTAAACAAAGCGACTTGGTAGTGCCCTGACATTTCTCATGCGGTACAGCGATGAGGGAGAAAACTTTTTAAACCAAATTGTGACAGGTGATGATGCAGGTGTGTCATTTCACACCAGAATCGAAACAACAATCGATGGAGTGGAGACACTCATTCTCCGAAAAAACAAAAGTTCAAAGTGACAATGTCATCACAAAAAATCATGTGCACTGTCTTATGGGATAGGAAAAGCATTTTGCTTACTAAATTTCTTCGCAGAGGTGAAACCATTAATGCAGCACGATATTGTGAGACTTTAAAAAAACTAAGGCGTGCCATTCAAACAAACAAAGAGAATGCTCAGTAAAGGAATTGTGTTGCTCCACGACAATGTAGGCCCCATACTGCTGGTGTCACTCAATCGTTAATTCAACAGTTTCATTGGGAGCAGTTCGATCACCCGCCGTACAGCCTGGACTTGGCGCCCCGACTATCACTGTTCCTGACATGAAGGCGAGCTGGTGGCAAGCGCTTTGGATCTGATGATTGACACGAAAATGCTGTGGAGTCTGGTTATCGAAACTGGTGGGGAGTTTCTTTGATGATGGTATACAAAAATTGTCACCCGCTATGACAAGTGTTTGATCATTGGCGGGAACTATATTGAAAAATAGTTTAAGACATGTATTTTCATGTAAAAATAAAATTGGATTCGAAAAAATTGTTTTACTATTTTTTTTTTTAAAAACCGTACTTAGTTTCTGAATACGCCTCGTATTTAAGAGAATATGTAAGTGTGAAATAAACTTGTATCAGGTTCTAAATAATCGTTTTGTATAATAATTCGGTAGACTGAAAATGTCAAATAAGAATACCATAAAAAATTATTGTATCTAAAAAAAAATAGCATTATTCCTTTCATAATTTATCATTTTTGAAGCTATTTAATTATTTAAGACTTGCCGCCTTTCCCTGCAAATCCTAATATAAATCTCAACCTCAAACGTATATAAGACTTATATGCTTTTGGTATTAAAAGTGGCTTTGAGTGGTAGCCTGTTGCATAATTTTTAATTATTGATAGTTTTATCCTAGGTTTTGATTTATAGGAAAATAAACGAGAGATAACTGTAGTGGTTTCACCAATGTGCAATGTAAATGTCAATAAACTGGCCTTGAACTCCTAAATATCTTATTTACTAAGCATATTTTAAAGTTTGAGGATTTACTGCAAAGACAAGAGCTGTAGTGTTTCTTAGCCTGTAAATTACTCATCTACCAAAAATTCACACTGCTCTGCAGTTTGTTTTGAAGGTAATGTATTCATTTCTCTTCGTTTGAAAAAATGCAATAAAATACAAGTCATTTTACTGATGCGACACATTTACGCATGCATAGAATTCAGCAATACACAATAATCTGTGTTGTTTAAACTGGATATTATGGCAAAGCACTCTGAGACTATTTGCCTAAGATTAAGAATGCCTTCTTGGAGTACTTTCTAAGCATTACTTAAAATGAAACTTTAACAAGAACTCCATAATATTCAGTACGTGAAATTATCAATAATATAATGATAATAAAATTAGTATCAAACAACTAAAAGTATATACTGCTTCATAAATTTCTATAAATTAACAACTGAAAATATTTAAGATGGCAGTGGCTGCATTGTCCTAATAGTTTCAAGTTGCATTTCAACATCTTCCGAAGGAACGCAAATTACATTTTAATTTTCACTGTACAAACAAATAAAATATTTTAAAAAGAATTTTCCATTGTTACTGCAATAATTTTTTTAATTAGAAAGTTTATTAAATATGTATACTAATTCTCCTAAAATATATCCACTTTTAATAAAGGATTTTTGCTTTTGATCTACCTGGGGTACAAGAAACCTATTTTTATTCAATGAAATTTTGCACATTCCTCCAAGAAATGCACAAAACTTTTTTCATACACCTTTACTTTTACTACTTATAAAGAAAGTTTATACTTGTTTCATAAACAAGTTTTTGTACATACTTATTTTAGAATGCATACGACACAGTGTGAATTCTCATTTCCAGATATACGTTAATATCAAC